GGGGCCCCGCTCAGCTTGAGAGGCCCTCGGCACCCCGCGGAGCCGGCGCTGCCCCCCACAAGCCCCAACGCCTCCCCAGGCGGGGCTGCGGCACTGGGCACCCCCGGGAGAGCGCGTGGGTCGGAGTCCGCACCCCTCTCCCGCTACGGAGCCGGCGACCGTTCTGACAACGTGGCCCCGCAGAGCCGTGGCCCCGCGAACGGGCCTTTGAAGACCCCGTGGGAAGCAGGACGCCGCCACGCCAGACCCCAGCACCCGCCCCTAGGCACGCGGAAGCGGGCCACCGAGGAAGGGGTGGCAGACCGTGTCATTCGCAATCGCGTCAAAAAGCGCAGAGTGCCCGGAGTAAGCGGCCACGAGCAGGCGGAACACCCGCACGCCGCAGGCGAAGCCTGAGCAGGGGCAGAGGCCACGCACAGGGCAGGTCCCGCCCGCTCCAGTGCCGGCGCAGCCCAGCTCAGCGCTGCGTCTGCCTCACCGCGCTTTAAGAGTCTTAGGAGAAGAAACCGAGACCCCTGAGCCCAGCCGCTGGGGTGTCCGCAGGCAGGATGGGGTTCTTGGGGGTCTCGGACCCTAGAAACCCACTCGTGGGCTCTCAGAGCCGGGAGGCGAGTGACGCCAGCCGGAAGCAAACTCGAGAATGTTAAGTCCTCGAGGCTTAGCGCTGGAGCGGGATCAGCGGCCGGCTAGGCCACTCCCGGCTGCCCGTGGGGCCGGAGGAGCCTCAGGCCTGAGCCCTCTGCACCCTAACCCTAACCCTAACCCTAACCCTAACCCTAACCCTAACCCTAACCCTAACCCTAACCCCAACCCCGGCCTGCGTCCTGAAACCAGCTCGCCTCCGGCGTGGGCCGTCTCTTGGCAAATCCAGCAGCATTTGAGCTGCACGAACATCTGGTGTTGAGACCCACTGAGTGAGATCACCTGGCCTCTCCGCTCCTCGCTCCTTTATTCTGAACCGGCTGGAGCCGGGTGGGTCGCTGGGCCCACGCCGCTCTCCCGCCTCTGGCGTGGCACAGGCACGTGCTCTCGGGCAGTGGGGGCTGTGGGGAGGGGGGTTGCGGGCTCTGCCCCCCCAGACCGCGGAAGCGCAAATCCCAGCACGGCCAAGGGGCCACTGGGGCCGAGGACAGAGGGAGGCAGCCAGGCTGATGCAGAAAGCCCGCGTGGGCCCCGCGCGTGGGCCCCGCCCGTGGGCCCCGCCCGTGGGCGTGGCTCACGCCGGCCCCTCTGCAGCTTTCCACCGCTCTGAGCAGGCCGCTAGGCTCCAGGCGGTGGAGCGGAGGCGCTCGGACAGCCGCTCTCTCAAGTCCAGCGGGACCCTGCTGTGCGCCTGCAGCCGGACCTCAAACACACGGGTGAGGACCCCCAGTCAGGCACCCCAAGGCGAACCGGGGTGCCCCATAGCAGCGCAGCTCACCCAAACCACAGGGGTGGTGCGTCTCCCTTTCCCGTCAGAAGGCGGCTGGCGCGGCTGGGCTGGGGCAAAAACAGACGCGGTGCCCGCCGCGGGCGCACAGCCGAGAGCCCACCAGGCGCCAGGGACCGCAGAGGACACGAGGGCGGACACGAACCACGGACGCCAGAGCCCACGCTGGCAGCCGCGTCGCCCAC